TGGAACTGTGGAAATCGGCGGATGAATCATCAGAACCACTGGTGGGATTCAACATTTTTTTTTACTACCAGTTCTGTGGGTGTGGCTTGGTGGGCATGACAGGGGGAAGGATACTGCAAAATCTTCATTCCCTCCCCACCCCACTAACCTGCTTTGCAGCTCCGTTTTCCTGTGCAGGGCAACTAAAGAAGTCCCAGCCGATCAGCTGGGTCTCAATGGGAGGCAGAGAAGAGATGGGGGCAGGGCCAGTCAGAGGTGGTATTTGCCGGTTCTCCAAACTGCTCAAAATTTCCACTACCGGTTCTCCAGAATTGGTCAGAACCAGCTGAATACCACCTCTGAACAGAACCTCTTTCCTTCGGACTCAAACATTGAAGCCAAGGACCCACTCCTCAGTGGTTGGTAGGTTTATTCAAAGTGCAGGCTGGGCAGCTGGGAGCAGCTTGGTGTTTAATAAAAGGCCTGTAGTGATGGCTGCCATGACAGTTAAACTTATCTTTAATACGAGGAATCCTGTGTTGGACCTTTTAGCTTAGCTTGGCCTGTGTGCATGCGTGCTCACACACACATGCAGACTGGCACATCTCCTAACAAAGCCCTAGCCTAGACAGTCGTTACGAATATGTCTGGATTCCACATAATCTGTAATAATCCCAAAGCATAACTAGAAAGAAAAATCTTTGTCTTTACATGCCACTTTCCCCCTCTTCCTCCTCCTCCTCCTTCTCCCCATTAAAAAAAAAAAAGTCTTTTTCAAAGGTCTAAAATGTGAATCTGATTTAAACAAGGTGCTAAAAGACCTGGTAGTTGCATTCATGTTGCATCAACATACCAAGCTTCATTAGAGGTGGTGGGGGGGTTGTGTGTGGGGAACTTAGCATATGTACTTAGAAAAAGTAAGAGAAGAGCAACCAGGATGATTAGGGGACTGGAGGCTAAAACATACGAAGAACGGTTACAGGAACTGGGCATGGCTCGTCTAGTAAAGAGAAGGACCAGGGGATACAGGATAGCAGCCTCCCAATATTTGAGGGGCTGCCACAGAGAGGAAGGGGGTCAAGCTAGAAAATAGGCCAGACAAGGAATAATGGATGGAAACTGAACAAGGAGAGATTTAACCTGGAAATAAGGAGAAACTTTCTGACAGTGAGAACAATCAACCAGTGGAACAAAAGTTGCCCTCGGAAGTTGTGGGAGCGCCATCACTTGAGACTTTCAAGAAGAGATTGGACTGCCATTTGTCAGAAAGGGTGTAGGGTCTCCTGCTTGGCGGGGGGGTTGGACTAGATGAATTATAAGGTCCCTTCCAACTCTGATTATCTGTTATTATACTAACTGAGCCCATTTGTATACTCAGTAAATACAGGTAGTCCTCGATTTACAACTATTCGTTTAGTGAGTGTTCAAAGTTACAATGGCACTGAAAAAAGTGGCTTATGACTATTTTTCACATTTATCACCATTACAGCACTGCCATGGTCATGTCATCAAAATTTGGATGCTTGGCAACTGGTTCATATTTATGATGGCTGCAGTGTCGTAGGGTCATGTACTCACCTTTTGTGACCTTCTGACAAGCAAAGTCAATGGGGAAGCCAGATTTAGTTAACAATCATGTTACTAACTTAACAACTGCAACTATCCATGTTTCCCAAAAATAAGACCAGGTCTTATTTTCTTTTGGGCCCCAAAATAAGCACAAGGGCTTATTTCTGAAGCTTGTCTTATTCCCCTCCCCCCATGTATGGCAGGCCCCCTTTTCCTGCTTGCTCATGGCGGGGCAGGAGGCCACACCCCAAGCCAGTGCTGCCATCCTAAGGCAGGGGGTAGAGCTGCCCCACACGCCCTGTATCGGTTTACCTCAGGGCTCCCACAGCCAGGCCATCCATGCCTCGACACCTGCCTCACCTCACTGCGACACCAGCACACCACTCAGCCTCCTGCTCCGTTGTGGCCGTGAGCAAGCAGTGGCCACACAGGCTCCTGTTGCATATGGCTGCTGCTGCTGCTGTGAGACAGGTGTCAGGGTGTAGATGGCCTGACTGCGGGGATCCTGAGGTAAGCCGGTGTGGGGCAACTCCACCCTCCCGCCTCGTGGCCGTGGCACAAGCAACCAGATGGAATGGATGGCCAGCTGGCTGCATATGCTCTTAAGCAGGGCTTATTTTGGGTATAGGGCTTATATTAGGTGCACACATAAAAACTTGCTAGGTCTTATTTTCGGGATAAGCCTTATTTTCGGGAAAACGGTAATTACTGTGGCAAGAAAAGTTGTAAAATGGGGCAAAACTCACTTAACTGTCTTGCTTAGCATTGGAAATGTTGGACACACTTGGCCTACCTTTAGGTTTATTAAAAAAACCAGGTAATGAGGCTGGGGGACCTCCAAGAAAATGCCCCTGATATTTAATGTCTATAGCATTGTATCTCAGCCTCTACAATTTTAAGCTGTATGAACTTCAAGTCCCAGAATTCCCCAGCCAGCATGAAAATTCCCAGAATCCCCTAGTCAGTATCCCATGTGTTCTAGGAGTTGAAGTCCACACATCTTAAAAAGATGCAGAGCTTGGGAAACACTAATCTGGTCTTTAGGTACCATGGCAGGAACTCCTACCTGCCTCCTTAAACTTAGAATAAGTTTTGTTTTGAAGCTGGGGGTTAAACTAGGGTTAAACTGGGGTGGAACTAGATATAAAATAAAAACTCCAGAAAAATATATCTGGTGAAAAACAACCCTGGTCTTGCAACATTTGTGGGATGCCAACGAGTTAAGCAGGAGTGAGGTTGTGGTGACACAGTTCTAGACAGGTGAAATGCAACAAGGAAGCCCAAAATAGAACATGAAATCACCACTCAGAATTGTTGCCAAATTTTTTGTAATTTTAAAGTAATGTTGTAGACCTGCTGGAATGTGGATAATTCTGAACTAAGCTCGATCATCCTGCAATCTAGGAGTCGATTCCCAAAACTACGTCAATAATTTTTGCTTTGATTCTAAACTCTGAGGGTAAAAAGTTATATGTATTTCTTTTGCAGCGGGGTGGGGCAGGGGGGCGGTTCACATATGCCCAAGAGAATGACAAGTATATAGAGTCAATTAAGTGTTCAAAGTGTTTATATCAGTAAATCCAAGAGATGTTGTCTTGGATTAAAGTAGCAGGAAGTTAAAAAGAGTTTCTGCTTCTCCTAAAATTCATGCCGAGTTTCCTCTTCTACGATTGGGTTGTTTGCGAGCACTGAAACATCAAAGAAGAAGAAAAAAACAAGTATATTTTTCCCTTTCGAAATTCTGAAAGTGGGTCAGATTTAGTTTATTTGCAGAACCAGTTTGATTGATGGACTGAAAACAAGCTGTCACCTTTATTTACCATCTTCAGAAGCTGGTCACTCATATCCAATTTTTATTCCCACCTTAGAAGATCTAGGATTTTATGCATTATGTCTGTTTAAGAGGTAAGTTGAAGTTGAAGAAGTGCGGGTTCCGACTCCCAGAATTCCCTGACCAGCCAGGCTGGCCAGGGAATTCTGGGAGTTGAAGTCCGCACATCTTAAAGTTGCCGAGAGACATTGACTTCCATACTGTACGTGGATGATCCATCCATACCAAAAGTACAAAATTGCCATTTTCAACATTTGGATGTTGTTTCTCGGGACAGTGTAAATTCCATTTAGGCTTCTCTTTAAAAATTCCCCTGCCAGGCTGATGCTGGAGGCTAACTCCAGCTTCAAAACCAATCCAGGTTGCGTCAAAGCCCCGTAGCCTGTTTCTCCTCCTCGCAGAAATGATTGCAAGCACAGCATGGGAGATATTTTTCCCGGGTGGTGCTCTCAACTCTTCTAGGAGCAAATGGGGTAAGTGTGACCTTAAAACAATGCAGCAGACTGGATTGGTCACATTCCATAAAGATCGGGGTTCCTCTGCTTTTTTCTTCTTCTTCTTTTCCCTCTCCTTTTAAAGTGACTCAGGAGAGAGAAATTGGGGATTTGGGTCAGGTATGAAACTGTGTGCTGCCATCCATGGCCATGTTGTAAAGTTGTCATAAATGACTCCATCCCAGCTCCAACTTAAAAGCTAGAGAGATACTAGCAAAACTGCCTAAGTCTTGTTAGTTTCTCTTATTTTGTTTTAGTCACAGCCTGAAATAAAAGAATGGCAGCACCTGGCTCTAAATGCAGAATTTGTCAAGCTGCCCCACCTATGCAGATGACAAAATAATTAAGCCATTTATTAATAGATGCCTTGATGTTCTCCCCTCCTCTCCCCAGGCACTTAAAGCAGTATAAATATCCCAACAACAATCCTGTAAGGAAGGTTAGGCTGAGTGATAGCGACTAGGAAAAAAAATTGATGGAGCTCATTTGCATGTGAAACCTAATTCACTCATCGCATTAAGTCAGGCTTTGGTTATTATTATGGAATAATCCACAATTGCCTATGCTGACACAACACATTAAGTCATAGTTCATAATTACAGGTAGTCCTCAACTTACAACCGTAATGGAGCCTACCCATCGTGGTCGTAAGTTGTGACAGTCCTCACTCATGTGACTGACCTTTTTTTTTAAATGATGGTCACTAACTCTTATTTGAAAAAAAAATGTTGGTCCAAAGGAAAACATTATGGTCAGTTCCAGGGGGCTCTTCTGACATTCAGATCGTCTCTATTCTGCTCGTGGCATGTTTTTTTAAACCAATTCTCTTGCAAGAATTCCTTAGCCCGTTTTTTAAGACAATCCCTCCATTAGAAAACAGAGGGGCAAACTTTGATGCAATTAGAATTTCACAATTTCAGTTTGCTGAAATTCTACAGCAGTTGTTCCTCAACACATGCTGACCGGGGAATTCTGAGAATTGAAGTCCATCTGTGATAGCATTGCCAAGATTGAGATACTCTGACCTACAGTAATTGCCTCTGTTTCATTCACCTTCTTTCTTGCTAGGATTCTGAAAGAGACATGCCTGGCTCCACCTTTGGGATTTAGCTATCCCCGCCTTTCTGGGGAACATAGGTGTGCATTTTTCTTCTTGCGTTAGTATTCAAACCGGCTAGCATTAGGTAGCACCTTCACGCCTCTCTCTGCGGCACAGCTGGTTCAGCTGTCAGGATCCTCTTAGCCCTTCCCTGGAGCCCCTGTAGACTGATCCCGGCTGAAAACCTGGGCTAAAACCACAACCTGAGCATCGGAGACGGCTCCACAACTCCCTGGATGTTTGATGCTCTTCCTGTTTGCACCTGCTGAGAACTTTAACCAGATGACTGACGAGCCATCCCAACCAGTCTCCTGCCTATTTTGTTAAAGACTTTTCCACCGTGGCCCCACCTGGAAGAGGCTCCTTGCGGTGACGGCCTTTAGACCTGTGGATTTATTCTAAGCTCCTCACCAGCTGACACCGTGAAGCCCCATGGTTGTCTTTGCCCCTCTGGAAGCTGAACCGATTCTCCTGGCACTCGGCCTAGAGGGCCATGGGTTGGTGGAACCCACTAACCAGCTGGATGTTTGGATTCTCCTTGATGACCCTGCTGTGGGTCACATCAGCCAGGAAACCCAGAGACTCCATTCGGCAGGTAGATATCACGTGTCCCTGGCCCGATGGTCACCGGCATGCACGGAGCTACCACCATCTGGAAGGTGATGTGCGCTGGCGGCGTCTCTATTCCTCCAATCATTTCTTCCTATGCATTGGCGGTGATGGCAAAGTTGAAGGGACACGCTGGAAAGAGAACCTGAACAGTAAGTCGTCGTCAGCTTTCCCCAAACTGGTGTTGTACCAAAGGTGCTTTTTCCAGGAGGCAACTGGGCTTTCTTGTTTTTTCTTTGAAGATGTTTTGCTTCTCATCCAAGGAGCTTCTTTAGCTCTGACTAGATGGTGGGGAATGGAAGGATGTATACTCTTTGCAGGCAGCTGGTCATTTGCATCCTTTTAGAGGGTCGCTGAAGCACTTGGTGGTTTATCTGTGTCCTCAGAGTCACCTGAGTGGGGCTCCTGGTTCCTGCAGTCTGCAGTTTTTTCCCTGGAATGGAACCAAGTGCTTCAAGGACCCTCTAAAACAGGGGTGTCCAACCTTTCACCTTCCCTGGGCCACATTAGAAGATGAAAATTTGGTTTGGGCCGCACATATAATAAATTATTATAAAATAATTATATTATAAATTTATATAATAAATTATAAATTATTTTTATTATTTATTATTATTTATTAAAAATTGTTTATTTTTTATTAATTTTCTGGCCAAATTTTGTGGGGTGGGGGGGCGGCGGCGGGGGCAGAAGTGGCGGCGGGGGCAGAAGCAGCAAAGGCGGCGCCCGCCTTTTCTGTTGCTGTTTGGCATGGCGTTCGCCTCGCCCCGCCTCGCGCCTGCCTCTCCTCCTCCTCCTCACTGGCTCTTGCCAGAAGGTTGGGGTGGGCACTGGGCCGCATTACGAGGCGACCTGGGCCGCATGCGGCCCGTGGGCCGCGGGTTGGACAAGCCTGCTCTAAAAGGATGCAAATGACCAGTTGTCTACAAGGAATATAAAACGTTCATTCACTACTATCCTGTCAGAGCTGAAGAAGCTTCTTGGATGAGAAGCAAAACGTCTTCAGCAGAAAGACAAAGTCTAGTTGCCTCCTGAAAAAAGTACCTGTGGGACACCATGACCTGGATGACTGAGAATCTCTACAGACTTCCACCAGGTATGTTGGACTGACTACAGCCTCCATCACTCACACCCCCAGCCAAAGATATTTGATGCTGGGAAGTGACCGGGTACTTATCAAGAACCCCAATCTTTTGTTACTCAGATAGAAAATCTTCTAGTCCTCCTTCAGCATTAGACAGGTATTTGGAGTAAACTTCTTAAGATGATATCATTGGCAGATTCCATCAAAGAAATGTTTGCTAACAAGCTTGGAAACCTTTTCAGTGGTTCAGGAAGTTGTGAAAGAAACGAAACTTGGAAAGTCTGTCAGATTTTTAGAGACTTAATTGTGAGAGATTACTCATCAGCGAATAAATCTGTCTTCATGACCTCAATTGTCCTCTTGTCACTGTCAGAGTTTTTCACATTGTAAAATTAAAACAGAAACTACGGTTCTGTTATTCTAACTGGTTTTCTTGTACACTGCAGAGGGTTGGACTAGATGAGCCTTACAGCGCCCCAATTCTATGTCTTTTGTGATTCTATAGGCAGTCCTCAGCTTACAACCATAATTGAGCCTGAAATTATGGTTGTAAGTTGTGTTGGTTGTTAAGCGAGTCACCGTGTGACAGCGCCCAATTTTACAACCCTTTTTGTGGTGGTGGTGGTGATGAAGTGAATGCCATGATCATAAAGGGAATGCTGCAGTCATTAAGTGATTGCTGTAGTCATTAAGTGAATCCATTTTTCTGCAATGGCCGTTTCTGCTAGAAACCAGAAATGCTTTTTTCTGGGGGGGCCCCAAATACATTGTGGTCACATGACCTCAGGACACTGCAAACATATGTAAATTTTGGCCAGTTTCTGAATGCCCAAAATGTGATTATGTGACTGCGGAGGGATGACCATCAGAACTTCGAATCCAATTTATAAGAAACTCTAGTGAGGTCTTTCATAATGTTGAACGGTTTCTAAGTGACTGGTTATAAATTGAAGACTATCTGTGTTCATAACAGGGTCTATTTCTAGACTGAATAAATTCCTGGTTCAGTCTAGCTCCTAATCCCACGTCTAAACTCATCTTTTCCTTTAGCTGCACAGTTCAGGGTCCATCCTCTCTATGCTCAAATGACATCCCAGCCAGTCTACATTGTTCTTGGCGTCCTGTGGACGGTGAGAATCTTGGGACTGTGCTTCCCTCTTTCTCTCCTAGTGATGCTTTTCAATCAGCTGTCCTACCAGTTGTAAATAGTTGTAAAAGGGTGGCATACATTCCAGCATGAAATTACCTATCTGTGGATTGTAAACCTCTTGCAGCAAGAATCTAACCAGGTATTCTTTCAACACTGCTTTGGAGTTTGGGTTCTTGCAGACTGGAGTGTAACACCATCAGTCAAGCAAGATCTCCTTCCCCCCATCTCCATACAACTACAATTGCACCAGAACCCAATATCCTCCTGTTTTAGGTGTAAACTGTGGGGCAAAACAGGAAGAAGTTGACATAATTACATCTATCTGGCAAATAGCCTTGTAGGAGTACTGTATCATCTCCGTGTCTTGATGGATCCACAAGGATCCATTGCTATCCAACCCCCACCCCCTCCAGCTGTCAACATCTCTGGGCACGTCGCAGTTATGTATTCTGTGGCATCTTGGATGCTTTTTATTATATTTGTGCAAGCGGAGGACAAGGAAACTATCGAAGACTGAGAGGCCTTGCTCATGGTCACCCATGCCTTGGGTTTTTCCCCCCATCTGGATTACTGCCATGTGCTCTACATGGGAGTGCCCTTGAAGACCAACTAGAAGTTACAATTGATCCAGAACGCAGTGGTGTGCGCACCTCTACGTCCACCCATGTTGTGCAAGCTGTACTGTCTCCTCGTTGCTTTCTAGGTGCAATTCAAGGTGCTGGTCATCATCTTTAAAGCCCTATGTGACACAGGGCCAGGTTATTTGCAGGAACCCCTCTCCCTGAGGGTACCATCCCATCCCACTAGATCAGATGAGACGGGCAAGCTCTTTAGTTCCTTCCCTGAAACGTCGCCATCTAATGGGACCTAGGGAACATGACTTTTCTGTGGCTGGCCCTACCTCCATCTAGTGGGACCTAGGGAGCATGACTTTTCCGTGGCTGGCCCTACCTCCGTGATGGCGAACCTATGGCATTTGTGCTGGCATTCAAGCTGCAGGCAAACTTACAGCCTCACAGCTGATTTTCAGTGGGTTTGAGGCCTTTTTCGGCCTCCCAAAGGCTTGAGGAAAGCTTCTGCAGGCTTTGCAGCCTGAAAACTAGCCCCATTTCGTCATTTCCTGTTTTTCCGAAAATACCAGAAGTGATGAAACGAGCCTAGTTTTCGGCCTGCAAAGCCTGCAGAAGTCTTCCTCAAGCCTCTGGGAGGCTGAAAAAGGCCTCAAACCTGCCAAAAATGAGCTGTGAGGCGCAGTGCAGGTAAGGGGGCAGTGGGGGATGGGGATTGTGTGCGCATGCGTAGGGGGCATGGGGGGGGCACACATTGCTTTCTGGGTGCTGGCATGCAAGTGCGAGCGTGCAAGCGCGTGCACAATTTTTGGCACAGGAGCCCAAAAAGGTTAGCTACCACTGCCCTACCTTATGGAATAAACTTCTCCCAGTGGTTCAGTAGGTCCCAATCTTCTTAACCTTCTGGGGAGGCCATAAAAATCTGACTCTTTACTCAGGTTTTGAGGAGAATGGTAGTGACTGCACAGAGTTGTTGAGGGCACTCTAGGAGATGGATTGAGGTGCTGGATTTTTAGGTGTTTTTTTTTAAAGGTTTTTATAATTTTATTGCTATAAACTGCCCAGAGTTGTTTAAAGCTGGACAGCTAAGCAAACCTTTTAAATTAAAAATAGATAAGTGTGAGGTGGCAATGACATTTTAAAAACAATGTGAGCGCCTCCATTTCAACTCTGGTTCTCAAGTTTCAAGTGTAATACAGACAATTAATTCCCAAGGCAGGCAAGAAATCATGGTCTCTGTTCAGATCCAAATGGATTGATAATTTTTCAGTGTCAGTCTAATTTAACTGAAACTTCTTTTCAAAATTGTTTCCTCAGATTAAAATCATTCTTCTGAAGTTTTCTTTGCTGTGAAACCTAAAACTGCTTAAAATCAGCAGCAGAGATCTTGTAAGGTATAGAATAGATAGTCCTTCACTGGTTTCTTAATAGTAATTTTTTTCAGTGATAGTATTACATAGAAAAAGAAAAATATGTATCTAATTTTAATTGAAATTTAATTTATTTTTTGTTCTTGCTTTACTCTGGAGGAAGGCTCCAGGGAAAAAAAGAAGTCAGTTATCCTCTCAGACAAAAAAAAATAGTATGAATCACTTCTTAGCAAAATATATTTTCTCCTACAGTATTTCCTTATTAGTGAAAAATGCTAGTTATTGAAATTTATTTCTTCCAATTCACTTTGAGGATCAGCCATCATTGATTTGGAAATGAGGATACACATTTAATACAATTGAGCTACATTTAGGAATTTATTTATTAAATTTCTGTGCCTCCCACCTCACTCTGCAAAGCAACTCTATAGGAAGAGTCCTCCCGAGGTTTTAGGAAAACAAATTTTGAATTAAATTTAAATTAAGGAAATTTTAGGAAACACTCCTTTTGAGGTTCCTGAGGAGAAATGCCAAAGATGAATATTGAATATGGTTTTTTTAAAGTGATGAAGCTAATAAAAGTCAAATTAAAAGCTTGGGCTTGAAGAGTGAATAGAAGGAAGACAAGGAGGGAAGTGGCAGGCAGCCCAGCTTGTACACTTGTCTACAGGTAGTCCTTGACTTACAACACTACGTTTAGTGACTGTTCAAAGTTACAATGGCATTGAAAAAGTGAGTTATGGCTGTTTTTCACACTTATGACCATTGCAGCATTCCCAAAAGTCACGTGCTTGGCAACTGACTCATATTTATGACTGTTGCAGTGTCCTGGAGCTATGTGATCACTTTTTGTGACCTTCTGACAAGCAAAATCAATGGGGAAGCCAGATTCACTTTATAACGGCAATGTTACTAATAATAGCAGGAAAGATGGTAAAATGGGGCAAAACTCACTTAACAAATGTTTCACTTAGCAACATAAATTTTGGGCTCAATTGTGTTCGTAAGTTGAGGACTACCTGGCCTGTAATCATACTCAAGCTTTATGTGAGTCATTGGGCAAAATGTCTACTTGCTGACAGGATTTAATCCAGGCCCTTCCAGGAGTGTTTTGGGCATTCCTGGAAGGTTCTGAATATTTGAAAGTCACTTCAACAAAGCCTCTGACTTTTAAAGCCATTCCAGGTATTCAAAATAGGAGGTTTGAAGAGGACACAAATACCAAAATTGCTGCTTCTACAGAAGCAGAAAGAAGTCATGTTTAAACTAAATCTATAGTTGACAGGCATGAAAGACCAGGCAAAAGTGGCACAGAAGTATGGAACTTTTTCCAACCTGGTTTCTACTTGGAAACCACTTTTGGATTTTGCACTTGAGATGGGGTGTGTGTGTGTGTGTGTGAAACTTTGACTTGGGTTTTTGCTGATTAGATAAGTTTGTGGTTATAGAAATGGCTAGTATGTATTAGCATGCAAAGGTAAAAAGTTGAGACTGCAACTATCTTATTCCACCTGAGTCAGAAATGCTTTTATTTCTTTTTCCCTCTTTACTCTGCTTTTTTTTCCTTTCCCTTTTTCTTCCCTCATTTTCATTTTCTTTTGTATTTTACATCTTGATAAATGTAATAATTTTTTTTAAAAGGATGGAGCTTTTGGTCTTGTCAGTCTATGGCTGACTTTTCACAATATACAAAACTATAAATTTAGGCTAAGAAAACATAATTTAGTTTCATCCTAATTTTAGTTTATTCTGCTTAACCAGGTTTGTTAAATTCATTCTTTTTGGGGCTTGTAGAATGCATAGAATAGATTGTGCGAATGTTTTTACTTGGCCTAGTTAAGGGTGTTGTACGCACAAAGCTGTTTATCTAAAGCTTAACATACCATTCTATGCACAAAGAGATATTTCGGCACAGTGTGATGGCCTGGTTTACTCCACCTGAAGGTTCCCACAATATGTTCCAATGTTCTTCTGTTGTAGAAAAGTCCAGCATTTCAACATCTGTCAGACTTTACCCAAGAAGCAAGACTGGAATCAGTAGGCAAGCTCACAAGAACATCTGATAAATAAACTTTATTAAGGAAACTTAGGAAGACCTCTGAAAAATTTCTAAGATCAGGCCTTATCTGACAGCATCAGTCTTTAAAGCAGGAGTGTCCAGCCTTGGCAACTTTAAAGACCTCTGGGCTTCAACTTCAACCCATGCTGGCTGGGGAATTCTAGGAGTTGAACTTCACAGATCTTAAAATGGCCATCCCTGTTTTAAAGCTTCTTATATTTCTTTTTCCTGCCCTAGGTAAATAAGCTGTTTGCCCTCACTGTTTTGATCCAGCGTTCCTCTTTCCATCTTTCTCTTGTGTTGGCAATGATTAGATGGTTCCCAATCCTTTCTTTTCCACACATCCCTAGGAAATGTTTGATTAGTGTTTGCATTCCTAACAAAAGTAACTGTGATTTGTCATTAAGGGACATAGTATAACAGAATAGAATAACAGAATCACAGAGTTGGAAAGGGACTTTGGAGGGCTTCTAGTCCAACCCTCTGCTCAAGCAAGAGCCCCTACCATTTCAGATAGATGGTTGTCTATACTCTTCTTAAACCCTCCAGTGTTGGAGCATCCACAACTTCTGGAGGCAAGTCCTACCCAAGTTCCACTGATTAATTGTTCTGTCAGGAAATTTCTCTTTGGCTCTCGGTTGGATCTCTCCTTAATAAGAGACTCTTTGTCACACCCCCTGAAATTCCATTCCACACCATGATCAGTCCATATTGGGAACCTCAGGTCGAAGACATGACATCACCAAGTGGCCCTTGGCACAAATTCACATGATCTGAAAGCCCCCCGATATTATCTGTGTCACCAATGCTGGTGACAACCGGGAAGCCTATTGCCTTATGTTTATGGAGATTCTTAGTCATCCAGATCATGGTTGTCCCAAAGGTGCATTTTCAAGAGGCAAGTGGACTTTCTGGTTTTTCTTTGAAGACGTTTTGCTTCTCATCCAAGAAGCTCTGGAGTAGCTTTTTGGATGAGAAGCAAAATGTCTTCAAAGAAAAACAAGGGAGTCCAGTTGCTTCTTGAAAAAGCACCTTTGGGATCTACTGGCTAAAGCAGGGGTGTCCAACCTTGGCAACTTTAAGACTTGTGGACTTCAACTCCCAGAATTCCTCAGCCAGC